TATACAAAGTGAATGTCTTAGTAATATAATGTCAAGCGTTATGTCTGTATTTCAAGTAATCAAAGTTGGATTATGTCTATATTTCAAATAAAATGGAATGACATGAAATTCAACAATTATTACTAGGGATAAAAGGTAACAAATTAATGTCAACAAATGCTATCATCGATCACGAATTATTTAATGCATCATGTATTATAACAATCACAAAATTCTAAAATTCTACCCTTAAAAGTAATCAATTTTATCCAAAAAATAATAAATAAACAAAAAAAATAAGTAAACTCAAAAAATAAGTGCACCCTAAAGTAATTAAATTCACTCAAAAGATGAAAATCATAAAATAATTGCTTAAAAAGGAGTAAGTAGTATGCTACAACTCAAAAAATTCAGAACCAAGCATAGGTTGTTGCGAAATAATAATAAACTAAAGAAGTCCGAGATCGATCCACAGAGAATTGAGAAGACTTGGAATGCAAGAAAAATCGCTTTAAAAGTTGGTCAGAGAAAAGTGATTGTTCAAAAGAACAACAATTGATTGAATAAAAACAATAATTTGAAATACTAAATCATTGGGGATATTCTTTCAATTCTACACAGTAATTATTAATGATTCAGTTTTTGAACTCAATTGAAAATCAACTGAGGAGCGATTCAATCGGAATATTTATCGGTGATAATATGAAAATATCTAAAGTTATAACCCATAAATTATCCAAAAAAATCTACGAATTCATATGCAGATTACAATCATTCACTGTGCCTGGAGTTTACGATAAATCAAGTTCTCTAGCAAATAAACCCTAAATCTATTGAAAATAATAAATCAATTATATTATGAAAATTCTCTTAATTAATTCAAGCATGAAATAACTAGTTTTTTGACTCGCAGGGAATTTCAAGTATATTAAAATCAGTTACACACATATTAATTAAAGCCAACCAAAACCAAAAAAAAATATATTCGATCATACATATTGACATCCAAAACAAACCCCAAACATATTATATTCCATCTAAGTATTCACACGCAAAACCAACCACAAATTATAACAATGAATCAAAGAAACCAATTCAAAAAACAAAATCAAAATACATAAATTCTTTATGTGGCAGTGTGTGTGTGTGTGTGTGAAGAGTGTGCATTGTGTGTTAGGTTGTGAAGTGTGTGTGTGTGCGCGCGTGCGTGTGTGTGTGTGTGTTGGAAGAGTGTGTGCTTGTGACGTGTGAAGAGTGTGTGTGTGTGTGGCGTGACTGTGTGAAGTGAAGTTTACGCCTCACAGGGAACTTTACAAATCAACTTAAACTTCCAGGGAACTCATTCATACACCTAGAAAAGAATACGTGGCATTGGGAGGTGATTGGCTCATGGCTTCTAGCGGTAAAGAAAAGGAAAAGAGAGAGAGACTTTTTGGCACCGTCCCCTGTTGTAATGTTTAACAGTTATAGTTACAATAATATTATTAAATTATATTATTATCATAATATTAAATTAATAAATTAAGTCATATTTTTAATTCACATTACTTATCCAGGCAATGGGCTGCACTTGGACTTTGGCAGTGACTTCATTGTCGTGAACTTGCTGACAGGACAGTGTGAGAAGCTCCACCACTCTGCAATGTGGTGGTCTTCATCACATATAGAATCAGCAAAAGCCATGTAAGGATTAGAGTGCAACAAAAGTAAGATACATCCATTTTCAATGTCTCACCCTATAGGCAACGTACTCACCGGCCCTTTATGTTTCCTCAAAAGGCATTAAAAGGGGGCCACACATAATATTCGATGCCTTACTAATTGAAAACTGTGGGATCACTTTTGGGTCATTACTAAGGATGTACAGTGACAGATATAAATACAACCCCACATGTCCCAAATAAATTCCGATTTGAAAATTCAAGTTAGTTCATTTCTGAAATAAAATGAGCTGGGTTCCAACATAATCTTGAGCTCGATTCGTTTAATTAAATGAGTTGTTGAATAATATGTTTAAAACTCATCACGATCTCAAGCCGTTCTCGAACATTCTCCACAAAAACGAAGAAGTTGAACCCAACAGTCTGATAATCGACTCTACATTGCTGTATCAAAGTTTTGTATTTTTTTGGGTTGGAGAAAAGGAGAGGGAGTACTTTGAGATGATGCTAAATTCTGGATTGAGATTTTATAGTAGGAATTCCGCCTTCGGCCAAGTCGTAACCAGAGGTCTTTACAGTGGAGAAGTTTGGTTCAAACTGCATGATCCACTCTAACTTCGGGTCTGTCTAATGTAAGGCTGCAAGTTGTCCAAGTTGAATGGTCAATCCAATCCCAAATCAAATTATAAAGCCCTCAATACGAACCTTAACTCAACCCGTACAGCTTGATCGGGCTCAACCCGAGCCTTTATTATTAAATCGGGTTCAATTTTTTAGTTAAATTCAGATTGTTAAATGTAAATACTTTTAACTCATATTAAACTCAAACAGCCCAATGAAAACTGCACTCATTAAAAATTTAAAACACATGCCGAATGAAGTTTTTTTTTTTTTTTTTTTATATACAAGTGGAGGGAGAGACATTTTTTGTTTGACTGATGTGGGATTTTAATTTGGACATCATCTTTTGTTCTTTATTCAGCATGCCACATAGGTTCAATAAGGGAGTTTGCACTCCCTATAGTATAAAAGTTTCTTGACGAGTGTGAGTAACACACATTATTTTGCTGTGTAGTCCTTTATATACTAGCAATGCACGACGTACGTTACGTACAAACAATTTAAATAATAATTTTTTTGTTGAATCTATGAAAATATAAGTTTTATCAGTAATTAAATTAAATGATAAATTTGGTGTCAAAAAAATAATCTACATTTTATTTGTTGTTAAACCTATTTATTGAAAAAAAATTATATATCTATATAATAAAATACAATACAATTCAAATCTCAAAAAGATAAACAAAATAACTTTTATTTTTTGCGGTTGATATCTCTTTAAATTTTACCCTAAAGTTAATCCGACGGCTAATATTAACATTTCAAATTTAATAGAGAAAATATGTCTCTAAAGATGTATTTGAGCTGACTTTTTAAAATTACTTATAGAATTTATAACTACTTATGAATACTTTAAAAAAAATAGTATTTAGAACCACTCCACCACTACCACTACAACCGCCGCCACCATCTCCACCTCTGCCACAACAACCACCACCTCCACCGATGTTTTTGCCACCACCACTATCGCCACCCCACCACACTAACCTTTGCCACCACCAACACCAACACCATCACTGTTGATGTCACCACTGTTGCCGCCACCACCACTACTATCGCCATCCCACCCCCGCTGCCGCTGCCCCACCATCATCACCACCAATCACCGGTTGCTATTACCATCGTCTATCGCCACCACCTACCACAATTTTCATCTCATTCTTATATTTATTACCATTATCACCATCGCCCACCCTTAACACCCACCACTACCATTGTTGCTCACCACCACTTATCGCCGCCTACTATCACAACCCACCACCACCCACCATCGTTGCCGGTCACTGTCACCCACCCCCACCAAACTTACCACCACCAATCATCATTGCCCACCACTGTCGCCACCCCACTGTCACCCACCCCCACCACACCTACCACCACCACCACAGCTATTTACCACAACACATCACACTGTCGTCTAGAAGGCACCCATCGTTATCCACCACCTCTATCATCACTGCCCACCATCGACGTCGCCCCACCACCACCACTACTGTCGTCACCCATGACTATCACTTCTACCATTGTCACCAAAAATACACCACTAGCATCACCATTGCCACCCATGACTGTCACCATCACCATAGTCGTCGCCACCTACCACAACCATCACCGTCTCCTATCGCCACCACTATCACCGTTCAACTCCTCTATAACCGGTGTTTAAATTCTTTTCTTTGCTCTATGTTTGTAATTTGATTTTGGGTGTGAATATAAATATATTTATTATTGACATTTTTGTTTATTGTTATGTACCTTCAAACACAGGCAATAACTAATAACATATATTTGATCTTAGAATCTAATTTGATAACTATATGTATATAATAATATAATATAGATTCGTATTTGCTTCTTCATATAGATATAAACAAAGCTATGAAAATTTTTATGCAAATGTACTACTTAGTCCAAAAGAATTTAGAAGTTAAATACTAATTATAAAAGAGTTCAAAAGAATTCGAAAGTCAAATTAGGTATAAAAACAAAAAATATATGAAGGTATAAGGATATAATTAATTTTATAAAAATTAGGCTAATACTGTGTGACGCACGTGAACATATTTAAATAATATATTTTTGTTAAACTTATAACAAATATAGATTTTATGTATAATTGAATTGAATAAATAAATGAATTATGTGACAAAGAATTAATTCATATTTTAATTTTTACTTAACTTCATTATTAATGTATACATGTATTATACAGTAATTTGAATTGTTAGAGTTATTATTTTAATTAAAGTCTTAAAGTTATAAGAATAAGTAGAGCGAAAGACTAGAAGGAAAAATGATGACATATTAATAAGAATATTTGATGTATGATTAACTTAACATTATTAAATAGAGATGAAATAGAAAATCACATTTTTTTCACCTATGCTACATTTATAAGTAATATAGATATCTATATAATAAAACAGAAGGGCATTTGAATCTTATACCCCATATATTTTTTCCCCTAAAACCATCACTTCTCACCCATCACCTCCATCTTAACGTTACATTGTCTCTCACCTGTACACAGCCGCCTGACACACGCACCCATCACTACCCCTCACCTACACCCATCACCTCCCTTCTTTTCCTCTAACCCTCACTTGCACCCAGCCACATTCACGACGCCTCAAAACAAAAGACCCAAAGAACAACCAAACCCAGATCACAAACCCTTCACAGAGCTCCTCTGGTTCTTCTTAATCGCATCATGTATCAAATTCCTCTTAATTCCAGCCTATGAGCAAACAAGAAGATGTAATCGCCACTAAACCCTGGATCTCCATCGCCACTGAACCCTCGATATGGGTATCCAAGACCCTAGCTAAAACCTTAGCTCAAAAGAACCCTCGATCTCGATCTCCATCGCCACTGAACCCTTCACAAACCTACATAGCAATATGGGTAATGCTTGGCCTTTGCTCATTTCGAACACTTCCTCTCTCTCTCTTTGCCCAATTCATCGACCCCACCATGGTCCACCTCCAAAACGACCTCAGTTACAAGTCCCATCTCACCATTTTCATCTCTGACTTCGTTGTTGACTCGGAATTTGGAGAGAAGAAAGCGAAATTTGGTCTGGGTATTGGTGATTCGAACTCCAGATGTTTGTAGTATTGTTTCAATGAGGTGGATTTGTCTATTTGTTTGATTTTTTAATAATTGCTCAACTCTTTAATTTTTATCTTTCTGTCCATACTGTGGTGGTAGTTATGGCACTGGAGATGCTGTGGTGGTTCTCTGGTTGGCGGTGTTGTGGTAGAAGAAGAGAGTGGAGTTGGCAGTGGTTGTGGGTTTGCCGGTTTGGTATGGAGTTACCTTTTCCTTTTCTTTTTAACTCATCTTTGGCTTAATGATGGTGGTTTTGCAGAATAGGTACTGAACATGAAAAGTTCGGTTTTGATTTTGGAACTTTACGCCCCATGAAGTACAAACAAATAGCAGAGTTGCTCGGCACAAGGTATTTCTTCTTCGATAGCTTTGTGGCTTCACCATTTTTGGTACTTTTCTTTGATAGTATGTGGGTTTGATGCCTTTTGTTGATTTTCTAATTTTGATCCATCTGTTGCGAAGTGAGCTTTGATTTTGATGGGTTTTTCTTTGATTTCTTTCCGTGGGTTTCTACTGGTTTCTTTCTATGGGTTTCTACTGGTTGCTAAGAAAAGGATGAGAGAAAACATTATGGAACTTGAAAGCTTAGAGCTGATTTTTCATATACTCTCCATTATGGTTGCTAAGCGTTATTCCATATACTCTCCGTTGGTGAAGCTGATTTTTCAATTGTTAAAGATAAAAAAATTATCAATAAATCAGTATGTTTTGACGAAGTTCCTCCATTTTTCTTGCTTTAATTTTTATTGTCTTCATGAAGCATTAAATTGTTGGTTGCTTAACCTTTTTGGAGTTTTGATTCATTTGATGTGATAGCAATGTGCTTGGCTTTGGAATAAGGGTTCTAGGAATGTGTATGTAATTTTTGGTTATGGTAATTGATTCTGTCGACCAAGTCTATTTTTTCTTTAAAAGGTACTTAGGGAAAAGGATTGTTTTCGGTTTATGTTGTATGAAATATGGTGTTGTTCTAGGATTTTTTGTAGTCTGAGAATGTGGTTGTGGTTTTATTATATTTGTTCTCTAATCAGATGTCCTTTAGGTGAAACCTACACAATTCAGTTGTAAAAGTTCTTCATATAGTTGTCCATCCTTTTCTATGGTCTTTCTGTTCAGTGTGTTTGAAATTCAATGTATAGTGTTAGCTTTGCTTTCCTATTGAAACTGTGTGGGAAGGCTATTGATTTAGGGCTGAGACTTTTTGATAATACTATTGCAGGAACTTCTTAAGCTATCCAAATATTGGTGTTTGAAAATTTTATCATATGGTTGCTCTTGGTTTCAAATGCCACGTAATCCGCCCATTCATTCACACAAATTTGGTTGTGATGCCATTAGTAAGTTGGTTCTTTAGGTTGTTGCTGATGGCTCTTTCTGGTTCTTTAGGTTGTTGTTGTTTGCGATATATTTGAATTAATTGGAACTATAGGTTGTTGTTGATGCCTTTCTCTCTGTCCAAAACTAATCCCATTGTGATATTTGAGCTTGACTAGGTGATCAATGACGTTTTTACTGCCTGTTTACTCATGGCAATAGATTAGCTTCACATCCTTTTATCATAGGAATTCATTTTTGGAAACATTTGCTCCATTTATGTTGCCTGAATACTCTTCTCTATTTATTTTGCTCTTCACATTCATTTGTAATTTGCAGCTTCGTACAAGAATTTTCAAGGAAATCAGAGAAGAGTACAAGCCTACAGGGAGCTTACCGTTTGTTTCTATTAGAGTCGTGAGACTTGGAAACTTTCAGGAAACCTTCCGTGTAAGATGTTTTGTTTAAATTTGTTGGTTTCTTTTTGATATATCAACTCCGAGTTTTTTTTTTTTGGAAAGTATACATACTAGATGATTATCGTGGCTCCATTTTTTGATTACCAAAATTTAGTGTTTATTTGCTTCAATTCAAGTTCTTTCATTTTCCGTTTCCTTTGTTATCATAGTTGGCTTCAAGTTAGGCAGCAACAAGGTTTAATTCAATCTTTTTGGTTGCCATGAAAGAAGAGAAATAAAAGCGATTAACATTTTTGAAATTCATGTCCTATTTTTTTATTTGATTTTAATAACCAATAACAACTGCTTGGTGCTTAGAAGAAAGAAAAATTTTCCTTTGAAAAAAAGTGGCGTTTCATGAATGATATAGAGTTTTGTCCATTTTTTTAAAAAAAGTGGTTGTCGTGATTTATTATTAGAATTTTTATTTTTCATATAGATAATATTTTGTTAATCATTTATGTAAAATGCGGATGTATAAAAGGATGCATTTTAAGCTTTCAACTTAGTGCCGGTCCAAGTTTATTGCTTTATTATTTCATGTTCACGATTAATATTCAGTGTTTGTTCATTTTGTGCGTGTCTATGTTCAGCGTTTGATTGTTCGTTTTCAAGAGTATTTTAGGCTTTCAACTTAGGACATGTCTGAGTTTAGTGCTTAATTATTTTGTGTCCAAATTCAGTGCTTGATATTTTTTGAATTGCACTGTACCTTCAGGTACGGGTTATCCCTAGTAGATATATATTTTAAATGTTTAAATGTCACCCATTATTTTTTAATGCTTAAAAAGAACTCGGGTCGAACCGATTTTTAATAGTTTGGTCCGGGTTCAGGTTGACCCCGTGAACCACAAGTCCAGCCCGCATTCAATTTGGGTTAATAATAATTGGCCAAATCTCAACTCATGTTCTAGAAAATTCAAACCAAACACTGATTTTTTGGAACTGGGTTCAGGTTTGCCCACCTAAGTTACACCCATAGTCTAATGGTAAGATATCTGAAAAATATTTGTCAACAAGAAAAACACAGACACACTCACAGGAATGTCACGGAGCATAAAGATACTTTTGGTTAAGTGTTTACTTGTTCCAACTCTTCCAAGTATGATTCGCCGTATCGGCAACAACTAGGAAAGCACCGAGGCGTTATGGTCGCAACGTAGTGAACTAATTATAGGTGATGCGTACAAAATACTAGATAAAAGAAGAAGTTGAACATGGCCAGAAATTCAAACAAATATCATGACGTTCCTAAAATAGTGTTAACCAATTTGGTAACTCGGGTTGACTCAAAGACGATTGTGGTGAGTTGGGTAAGACACGTTGGGATAAGATTTCACGAGTTAGGAGTTCACGATTTAAGTTATTGTCTTGCAAGAGAATCCTAGTTCACCCAATGCGTGCGGTTTGCGAGTGTTAACGGACATCCCGAGAAGATCACTCCGACATAGAAAATTAAGACATAGAAGATTCATGAAAAGAGTACATTAGGACATTTATGTAAGAACTATACATAGATGGGAGTTTCATATTGAAATAGAAATGCACATAGCCAGAGCGATGAGCAAAATCTCACACCACCTAACATGAAATCAACACATGAAACCTAAGGAAAAAAGATCAACAAAGCATCAAATTTGGAATAAAAAAATAATACACAGTTTGATCCCTTAACAGAGGTCTACAACGAATATATTGGACATAAACATAAAATCTGAATAAGTGACTGTCTTAGTAAATATAATGTCAAGCGTTATGTCTATATTTCAAGTAATCAAAGTTGGATTACGTCTATATTTCAAATAAGATGGAATGACATGTAATTCAACAGTTATTACTCGAGATAAAAGGTAACAAATTAATGTCAACAAATACTATCATCGATCATGAATTATTTAATGCATCATGTATTATAACAATCACTAAATTCTAAATTCTACCCTTAAAAGTGATCAGTTTATCCAAAAAATAATAAATAAACGAAAAAAATAAGTAAACTGAAAAAATAAGTGCACCCTAAAGTTATTAAATTCACTCAAAAGATGAAAATCATAAAATAACTGCTTAAAAAGGAGTAAGTAGTGTGCTACAACTCAAATAATTCAGAACCTAAGAGTAGGTTGTCGCTAAATAATAATAAACTAAAGATATTTGGTAACCCAAAGGTCTCAAGTTTAATCCCTTCTCATAACCCCAAGGACTAGCCACCATTGTTCTTTTAAGGACATACTCTAACACAACTCAAGCTACAGTAGTTAGCCGTTGAGTTTGAGGGAGTAGTCGGCGAAAGGCTGGACACCCTGTAACAAAAAAAAGATAATATCATATCAATATTGTTATATGATATCAATAATCAATAAAAAATACTAAATAGGCAAGATGAACCCAATTTGAATAATTATTGACTTAACATGGATGGGTATTCATTGATTTGTGTGAGATTCATTTTTTATTTGTTTACACATTATTAATTTGTGATATCACATGACAATCTTGACGTATGAGATCACCGTTACATTGAATATTTTGTGGGTCTTTTGAGCCTGAGGTGAAGATAAAGTAATTAAATGAAAAACAAATTTATTACTTGTTCCTATGTTTGCAATGGATTCAACTATGGTCAAATATATATATATATTATCGTCCTTTGTTAAATTTTTTATTTTATTATTTTCACAATCAATAGTTAGAAATTAATTAAATTAAAATTTATGCCTATCCATTAATTTTAATATGGTAGCCAGGTTGTAGGTTTATATTCATTATAGATTCTTCTATATAACATTTAAATTATCAAACATCAAGAGGCCTGAAGAGTAATTTTTGAAAAAAATAAGGACATGATTGATTATTAGATACCACCAGGAGTGTCAATATAATTTTTTGTTGAAAATACTCTATTTGGGGGCTAAAATGAGTTAACTAGGATTTCTAATTTCATCAAGATGTGATGAGATTTAGATTTTTTTTCCAATACAAATTTTCACTAAATTTAAAATATTATTCTTATCGAGTCAAAAATCTACACGGGATTTGCACATATAATAATAGTAGTCAACTCGTGCGATTCACAAAATTTATGACACTCAAATTCTTCCACATAAAAATTATAGGGACATATTGGGTGATATAAATATTTTTTAAGAAAAAATAAACAGAGTGGTAGTTAATTAATGGGTGGATGTTTAATTCACTAAATAAATAGACCAACATGAATTCTGCTAAATATGACTCAAATTTGATAGATGCAACGAGAACTCGCTAAGCATTGCTCATATGGTTAATGGGTGTGACACTATATGAATTATACGGATCAAAATTTCCTTTAATATATTTTTTAACAAACTATTCATTGAGTAATAAATTTACTTGTATATAAAGTATTTCACTTGAAATAATAAATAATCCATTAAAAAAGAAATTGAAGTGAAAAATATATTAAAGAGTTACTCTACATTCTACAAAATTTGACACAACACAATTGAAGTGATTTTTTTTTTGGGGTACAGTATTATTATTTATCACTTTTGTGGATAATTTTATCATTTTTGTTGGTATTTTTTGTCAATATTATAGTAAATATTTTTACCAATTTTTTGGTATTTGTGATTGATCCAAAAAATATTTGGATTGATCGTATATATCACAAAAGTGGTAAATTATCTATAAAATTTATAATTTTTTTATTATAAAACGAAATCAAAAAAATATTTATTGAATTAAGCCAAAAATTCAACGTCTTCTAGAAGAAAATGCAGAGAAACTACTTGGTAAGCAAGCCGAGAGAGAGAGAGAGAAAGAATCAGAAAAGTGGATGAAAGTGAATTCCAACGACTTTAATGGCTTTTCGAAGAAAAAGGTCGCGGATGGGACAAGCAAGGAAAATGCTACGTATTTACTAAATTTATTTATTAAATTTTTTATCTTAAATAATGTGATATAATTTTTGTCATTAAATATTAACAAAACATATTCACCTAATAAAAAAAATTATATTACATCATTTAAAATAAAAATTTAATAAGTATACCATTACTCAACAAACAATCTCATACCGCAGAAACAGTTTAAAAGAACGGTCATGGTCACATTCAGAGCAGGAGTATGGTCTTTTCTGCTTCAACAGTGGTGTAGCTAGACTCCTTTAATGTGTATTTAATTAAATGTGAGTATTTAATTAAAGTGTCTATCCTAAATAAAATTCTTAGTTCCGTCCCGTATTATACGATCTACTATGCAGCTAATGTGCTCGATCTTTTTCTTCAATGGACTGAAATTAAGAAAACATTATGGTACTGAAATTTATTTTTTTAGTATTGCATCGAAAAGTAAAAAAAAAAACTCAAAATATACCAAATTCTACCCTTAAAAGTGATAAATTTTATCCAAAAAAAAAAAGGTAAACTAAAAAATAAATAAATAAGTAAAATCAAAAAATAAGTGGACCCTCAAAAGATGAAAATCATAGAATAGCTACTAAAACAAAGGAATAAGTAGTACGATACCGAATCTCGTGTCGGCCACATCTAGTCCGGTGCTATTGGGAATTTTTTAAGTCTAATCCTGTCGGCCACATCTAGTCCCCTATCTCTCATCTATCATGTAACGAAATACTATAAAGGAAAGTCAGAGAAGACCAAAAGGTTGATAAGACCCAGGACTGCTCAACAGTATTGCTCAAAAAATTTGTGTCTTAGATCGCTGATTTTAAACGGGCATCAAATTTTTTATGTATACCTGTTTTTAAGCGGGCTTCAAAAAATTTGGGCTTGATTGATTTACGTTTCAAAATTAATATTTGAAAATAAATTTTGAGAAAAATTTTAAGAAAGTGATTTTGATATTTTTTGAGATAAAAAATTTGTTTGTTTAGATGATTTTAAAAATAATTTTACAATACAAAAAATAGTAAAATTTGTTTGGACAACCTCCATAAATATTTAAATAGTAATTCAAACATTAA